TACAAGTGCAAGTCTTACCGGTGACGCAGAGGTGACAGAGCGATCGCCATCAAATTGACAGGACAACTATAACTTTTGCATACAAGGTCGTCAATCGATCCATTCAGCAAAGTTAACGCGGGACATTGTAATTAGGGTTAAGTCTCTTCATTGAGAGACAACTTTCACCATTTAACAAAATCAGATCATTTCACGTCTCATCTGATCGAATACTAATGAAAGTTTAATTTGGCTGATCTGCTCACCTACATTAGTATCTTGAAGTAATAAAAAACGAGGTTATATTATGCAAAATGGAATTCTCATCATTTAGTGAACTAAATCGTTATAGAATTTTACATCCACCTGTTACCCAAATTAACGCGCTATACGTCTTTGTCAACTTATAAATTGCTTAAAACTGTGCTACTTCGAAAGTTATGTGTATAACTTAGTTATCTGTCGTATTACTAATCACAAAGTTACTTGGAAGGGCTTTGCTCAGTTTCTGCCCTTAGCGTATGCCATAACTAGTTCGTAACCTGGAACGATCAAATGCATTAGCTTTATGTACCTTTTTGGCGTTTTTAATGTACCTTCGAAAATTAATAACTTTTACATATTTGACAAGTTTAGTACGGCTATATCCGCCTTTCCAAGAATTCCAATGAAATTCTACAGTACATGTTGGTAACAAGAAAGGCTCTTAAAATTTTATCCATGGAAACTCGACCCCTAATACGTAAACGTTATGTTTGTTGAAAAGAGTTTCAGTCGAGATATAGTATCGATTGGCGAAAAATCCCATTCTCTTTTCGAAGATAAAGGATTTTAGTTTATTGAGAACCATTTGGTGCGGTATCTATACATAAGCCTGTCCTTATAAGACACAGAGACATCTAAAATGACAAGTTCATAAGGTTTGATATGTAACACAAATGTACTTCTCTTTGCCCCTGTGTATCATTACAGGATGGTATCATGTTAGGGATGTTTGTGACCGCTCTACCCACATAATCAAACGATGGAGTTTAATTACCTACTTTTGTGGTCGCTGCACAATACACACATAGACATGAGTATTGAGTAACCGATTTAATAATTAGAACGCATTTCATCATCAACGAACCACAAATAATTTAGAGGTAATTCTATAATCGGTATTTCTGGATTTACTTTGTGCCGTTAAACGTTTATCGTGTCCAACTTTCTGTACACGCAAGCATCGCCTTTAAGCCGATTTGTGTCCTAAGACGAATATCAATAAAATAATCTGTTAAAAATATGTATTCTGGCAATTGATCCATCATCACAATTATAGTTATCGTAAATTAATTGGGGATCCGAAATACAGTACAGTTTGAATTTCCCGCACCAACAACAAAATTTTCCAGTTGTTAACATGCCAAATGTCATCTGATTAGAAGTAATGGCGGGGCACATCACTAAATAATTAGCACAATTAATAAATAATTTATCAAGTTTACAATTAGGCACTTTTAATTGGGTATTGTTCAAAATGGCCACCGTCATATTCAAGACACAGTTGCACCCCCGCCGAGCCATGTTTTTAAATATTACTCTCGTCAGGAAAGTTTGCCGGTCACAGCACACGTTATGACGATCTACAATATATGTTTTTCTTAAGATGCGAGCGACTTCCCGAGTTCTTTCATTTCTATAGAACAATTGTTTTATTAATAGATTCCGGACTTCGGGAGACTCAGTCAGTTATCTTAATTAGGTTTTTAACTTTTAAGTTACACTGTCAAATTCAAATTCTACCCTTATTGTAGAAGGTAAAACGGAATTAATTTTTTAGGAACTGTATGCCATTTTAGTAGATAAGAGTAGATTTAAATTTGACAAAACGCTGTGTTTATATCACGTTGGGATATTTGTTCTATTAACCAGGAAATTCGAAAACAAACAAAAAAATCAAGTTTCAAGGAAAAATGGAAAGGGGCAAAAAAAATTGCAGATGCAGATGCAGATGACAGAGATCCTTGTTTTAATATGTGGACTACTTTAGTGAGTTTGAAGATTTGGGGATATTTCTCTTCAAGGAAACGATTTAAAAGACAAGTTATGGTTTCGACTGGGAACAAGACTTGTGGTGTTGACGTCGTGGCTCGACTCATAAATAATGTACATCCAATGGGTTGGTTAGTGACAAACCTTAGGGCATCACCACTAGAATGCGTAAATTGAATTGACAGTATCCTGGCAAATAGTGCAAAAAATGTTTGCTAGTCACAATCAGTTCTTTCCCCAAATGTGAGAATTGCTACTCTCTGATTATCACATTGATGTGTGCTCACATATAGTCTTGCTAAAGTGAAGCGTTCCGGAGTTACGGGGGGTGTAACAGTAGAAACTGTTAATCTTTTTTTAAGATTTTATTTTTTGGAAAAATATGAGATTATCACTAAGGAAACTAATTTTTTTTAAAACAAATTGCACTTTGTGGCCGGTAGTATGTTACTGATAAGCCCTTGAAGGTACGACGACCTTACCACCTTCTCATAGGGCGCCATTTTTTAAAGAGGCTTCCACTATGAGGGACAGTAATTCCTGGTGAGCTGCAGGATGTGCTCTCAGGTATTCGAAAATCTTCCATCCCCACTTCACCTGGTTCTTCTTCTCATTCAGCCACTGCTACACCTGATGGTAGGTTCTAAATGAATGTTCTACCTTGTAACGAAGCCACCAATATGCGCTTTAATTACACACAACTTCTGAATATATCGGTATTTATTTATCTTCCAGGAGTGGGTATAGAATTAAATGCTTTAATTGGTTGTGCCGTATTTCAACCGCTGATAATAAAACAAGATATCATATTTAATTAACCACCTTTGCAACCGTTCCCGTGGAGATATTTAAATTAATGTTTGCCACATTCGAGAGCTCTCGCGATTTGGAAGATGACGGAAAATTAATATTTTATGATTTCAGTCGCCGATTAATTTTTGCAAGCTAAGTGAGAACCAGGATAAAACTTGCAAGGACGTCGAATTGTACTAAGACAACGTAAGCTTACGACTGACTCGAAATTCCCCAGAAATACCTAATTGTAGTTGCTGGACTTCTGAATTTAGGAATTTGAACTCGGCCAATTAAGTAAGCGTAATTACCGGTAGCGCTTAATTATCTTGCTGATTCGAGGCACAGTTTTTTACAACCTGGGGGAGTCGCGCATTTAAATAAAGAAAGTGTTAATTTTGAGGAATATGATACGTTGGACTATGGAGTTCGTCATGTTAGCTCGACAGTCCAGGTGTCCAAATTGTAAATCAGGTGAGAACATTATGATGGGATCTTTTCATTTTTTATGTTTTGCATCTATTCGTATTTTGATCTGCATTTTCTTGTGTTATTAAAGTTATACTTTTTGATTTTAAGGCGGGTGTTCTATTGTTTTATTCCATTGATTGTGTTTAGTTTTCTTTGTTTATAAAATTCCTTTATTACATTTGATGAGTATCCGCGGACCTTTTAAGACATCTCTACTCCATTACGCAAATTTGAAGGGTATAGCGCCCGTTTCCCAGGTCAGACCATAAATTGGATAGCTGATGATCTTACTTTTTCGGGTTAACGTATCATGGAGTGAGATAGTAACCTTTTTGGTTTCAAAATAGCTATCCATGTTGGATGAGCTCCCCAATCCACGTTTAATAATGAGTTATCGAATTACTCATACACATATTATCAAAGTTCCCATCGCATCATAAGATGAGTTTCCGTCGAGTATATTTTCGCTAATATTTTACTCCATGAAGTATGGCATCTGTTCAACCAGATTTACTGGAATTGGGTAGCTTACGCACCAAACTTTATGGGTAAAGGGCATGGCGTCTAGCAGTTACCCGCTAGGGATTCTTAGCTTCACTAATTAGAATAGTGGCGACTAAGCTCCACCACCACGACTTTTTTCCGTTTCCACTTTGGGAAATTGGTGCCTTCCATGAGTCGTAATTCTGTTCATTTTCACACAATTTTTAGTTGCTTTATGAATTCCTCCAGTATCCGTGGAGCCTACTTACCTTGTGTCAAATTGTGCTCTATTTTTTTCTCTTTACCCTGAACACTATCGAAACGTCACACCGTTGGCAGATAATTAAAACATCTATCTTAGGGCACCAAATCAGCTATGGCCACAAACACGATTCCAATACAGTCGCTATAGGTTGAATTTCGACTGAAATTTTTGAAGTTGGCACTTACCTTTGACAATAGTACTTCACCTACCTGAAATTTGGAGTACAAATTACGCTTTATCGCCCATAAATTTTATTTTATAAAATGTTGGTGTGGATAGAACAAGTTTTACAGATATTCTCATGACAGTTTGTTTAGCAACACACCTCTTCACTGCTACTTTTTGTTCGTGACAACAGAACGACGGGTTTTTTTTATACAAACCGTCTAATATAATTACTGAGATAGATCATCCCAAATTACGTATAAGAAGCAGTTTCGTGTCTTGGAATTAGAAATAAATCACATTTTGTGCATCCTTAAGCTTGGTAATATACGTCCTACACAATTTCATAGAAAATAAAGATGTACACAGGCATTTAAGCCTTATAAACTATGTAACATTACACTAACATTATAAATTGATAAAAAACACCATCCTATCGAACTTCCGTAGGTCCATACAGATGAAGCGTAGACTTTGTATCCTTTTACGGGGGAAATGGTATATCAATAATGTGTTGACGACACTATAAAAGTACATGAGATGGGAACATTAACCATTAATTCCCCTCAAAATTGAGGGTTACAGCCCATCTTAGGCTTTACGACCTAAAATTGACTTATAATCAAATTGCTTCGTATGTAACAACTTTCAAAGGCACGCATTCATTAGTGTCATGTAACATCGTGGACTCTTCGATGTTAGGACCGAAAAAATAAAATGTTGCCGTTGAGAGATTTACATAGAGCGTTACACGTTACAGATATCTAACTTTTATTTGTAGCAGAGGTCAAAAAATTCTATCAAAATGTTCTTGGTCATTTGAAGCATTCACATTCACTCATTTACATTGAAGATCATTTACATTATTATACAAAATTTACATTTCTATATAGAAGAACGTATCTGCCTCTCCCTCTGGACGTGGTTAGTTTTATTCCGAAAAGAAGTCCAAAGCTAGCAACGCGTCAGCACTGACATCTCGGTAGCAGCCGTAGTTCCCTGATGAAAATCTGTGGCAACAGTTACAAGATCAGGTTTTCCTCGACCTATTGATTTCTGCGACTCTTTCCTACCAGTTAGTCGACGACATTCCGCACTATTGGTGTTACTACGCTTCGATCCCGATATACACATTATGTCTTTAAATTCTTTCCAAAAATTCTCGTTTAGCCACCCATAAAGCACGGGATTTGAGCACGCCGACGACATTCCCATCATGTGACAGATCGCATAGCACACCTTCATAGGTTGCGACGTAAAGTCCATGGAGCTCCAAATGTCTGCTATTAAATTATATAAGTTTAATGGTAACCAACTTATACAGAAAATAACGGCAATTGAAACTAAAAGTAGATTTGTGCGTTGCAATTTGCGACCACGCAATTGCCGGCGCGAATTCTGAGACGTGTCTTCCTTACTTACGAATCCGGCAGCAAATCGATATCGGAGCTTGAAGTAGATTCGCAAGTACGCTACCTGAAACGAAAGAAATTGTTGTGTAAATATCGCAATTTGTATCCCGCAAACAGCATTTTAAAACTAGCTGTACCGTGGTGCCGCGACACATGAACGTTATCATGTTCCGCCATTGAAGGTAAATAACTTCAATAATAATAATTGTTCCCCATATTAGGTTGTATACATTTTTAATTTTTTATAAGTATATTCGTACCCTCCACAGAAAGTTTCATTAATTCTAAACGGTTGCCCCAGCAGCGATGCCAAAATTTAGGCCCTACCAGTATTTAGTACCATAATTGCTTACAATTCGTGAGCACTCGTAAGAAAAGTACTTTTAGTTAAGCACGGTAATAAATAAGTAAATCGGCTAGGCGCCACATCATTGTTACAGAAAATTTAAAAAGAGAAAAGTATTTACTGAGAGAGAAATAAGAGATCCCTGTTCTATTCTTGAGGAAGCTAATAGCGCAAAGAAATTGAATGGGTTGAATATAAAAATAACTGTAGTCAGCAAAGAACAACTGAAATCGATAGTAATTTTATTCAAAAATATAAGATATAACCCTGGATGTAACAAATGGTTTCCAAGCCTCACAAATAGACGTTGAAATATCCGAGTGCTACTCAAAATCAAACTTTAAATTCGAAAGTAATAACGGAGTAAAAATGACTAAAAAATATTAATTACAGTTCGATAGTAATATGCACAAACGTTAATCTGACGGAATAAAATAGTGCGTTTGAATCCTCGCCACGGCCGTCTGAATTTCGAAGAGCGCTCTCTGCCAGTGATCTTCAATCGGAAAAAATCACAACAAAAAACAAGAAAGGGCTACAGAGCGTTCAAACCTTCATTAGATTTACGCGTTCTGAATAGAACGATTTTTAATAAATGAAGTTGGTTTAATTCGAAAAAATAACGCAAATAAGAACATCAAAAATACAAATCATTTGACAGTAGAAGGGGGTTACCTACGTCAGCTCATTTTATATTTGGCAACATGGTAATGAAAGACAATAATAACGTTATAGGTAGATGTGTAAAGATAGTAAAGGAGACGATTAGTCCATAAGAGCCCCATGCTGCACTTTTAGGTTTGTACGCTCTATAGTGATCACGCGATACATAAAATGCGGGAATAGATATAACGCTTGTCACCTCGGGTAATTCGAGTTCAAAAACCGTAATTAACATTCAATGGAAAGTAATAATTTCATTTTCGCTAAGGAGCAAAAGCAAAATTTTGACTCGACACAAGTTGTCGGGAGGAACGCATATAATTGTTAAAGTGAATATATTTTTATAAAACATTTATTATACGTAAACATAGAACATTTTGGCATAGTACGTAATATATTGAACAAATAACTAATTTGATAAAATAAGAAAAGAATAAACCAGAAAACGTCTAAATGACAAATTCCAGCTTTTTTTTGTATGTGCAAATCGATTTTTTCCACTTTCAACGAAATTTGTCCAATAGGTATCCTTGCACGATTAAGCTTGTGCGCGAGTACACCATCTTGTTGAAACCAACAGTTTCCGACTTTTGTGTGTCGTACATCGTTGTATTCGTAATAACAAATGCTACTCAATATAGTCCTGCTTTCTACTTTTTTTACGGGCCATACAAAAAAATAAAGTTTATAATGGTTTCTCCAAAATGAAACGTCTCAACGGTGTCTTGTAAAACAATAAATTGCGATGAGAACATGTTTTTTTTGTATCTGTTAAAATAACATCAGAAAAAAATAAAAACGAAATCTGCAAATTTATTGTCTCTGATTTGAACATCTTCATATCTTCTATTGTTTTCGAAATTCCCATAATAGACATCCTTATCTGGGACACAGTGTATACTTGCACTTCATCCAGAAATTCTGCTAACGACTCCGTACTCATTTATTATTACCGTTAAATGATCAATTAAAATTTTATCATCTGCGACGGCCTGAAGAGCATTAGGAGGTATTAATATACCTTAATTTAAGTTTAAATTTTATAATTTTTTTTCCACTAAAACGATTTTGTAGGTCAGTTATTAAATGATCAAGAAGTGTCTAGGAGGGGGCGCACGCCCCCCTGCGCCCCCCCCTTTAAATGACTAACTCTATACAACAAAACTATTCTGAAAGATTGAAATGAAATGAAAACAGGAATGCAACTAACAAAATGTATTCTTTGGAATGACAAAAAAATAACGAAGGTAGATCAAATCGGAGTGTCTAAAGATGCATTCCTCGTAACGACAAAGAGTAATATGTACGTAAAATCAGAAGTGTCGAAGCAATTCGCCATAGCAATATTCTGCATCAAAAGGTAATCGGTGGATAATACTTGCAATTACGTCATAAACAGTAATTCAAGTTCAGGTGTATTTAATATATATGTAGGTCAATGTAATGTATCACGTCATCAGTGATGTCTTTCCAAGTCGAAACTCAAAATAGAAAGTTGAAAAAATATCACGACGGCCATTAAATACCTTATGAAAGTTAATGACGTAATTTGTCACAGTAAAATATCGCAGCGTAAATCTGACAGGTAAATGGATCAACAGCAAAAATTGGTAACACCAGCATTTCTTAAACTCTCAACTCAAAACGCGGCAACTTGCAAGGAAGACGCAATATGAAATAAAAGTACCCGTATGTTAAAAGCGATGGATCCTAAGTTGCCAATGCCACATTGGTCCTTTTAAATTCCTTGGTTTTTTTATAACCTGCTATAGTCAACTGTCACTACTTACAGTAAATTATCAAAGTTCTTAAAATTGAAAAGGGGTATTTTAATGGTTCGAACAGCTTAGGCATTACATATCGTTATTAAATTTAGAGAGTTGAATTTTCCAATAAATTGTATGGCCGAGGGAATTGTATAAATCCGTAAGTAATGGTGGAATTAATTATCGTATGTTCTGCGTCATTTCTATTCCCTCTAATGGTTTTAAAATTCTCGTCTTCAAAAGGTCGCATAAACCCTGGCATAAACAGAAATAGTAGCCGGGACATCCTGTATGTAGCGTAATGCGTTATTTCGTAAGAATTTTTTTTATTTCAAATGGGCAAAGAATGGTGAAATATTGTTAGCAGTTTAGGTAGTTATTGTAAATTTAGTCCGTAATTCTTTAATTAATTTAATTCTATTTATATGTGATGAAGTTCTCCATTTCCGGTTCCGCTGAGATTTGAAGTTTTTGAATATTAAAAAGAACCACGACTGTGTTTTTATTATTTTTTTTTCTAAAAAGCGATCAAAACAAATGTTTGTATTTTATTCAATTTAATGTTACATGTCAAATACTCCTTGTCAAGTCAGACAGGAATACGCTGCTTTTCATATCAATGACGGTAATAATTTTAATTCTTTATCAACTTCATTATCTTGTAATTTTAGCATAGCCTGATGGTGGGTAACTCATAACCCGAAATCGATCGCTTTTTAGAAAAAAAAAATAATAAAGAACACTTTTTAATATTCAAAAACTTTAATTCTATTTGTTGTATTTAGTTTTAGTTTGTATCATAAATTTAAAACTGGAAACTTAGGGAACGTTTAATGGAAATTTTTCCGTGAGTTTAAAGTTTTATCTGGTCAAATATTGATAAAAAGGTGTTATCAGTTTTGCAGGACATTTTTTATATGAGGTACCGATATTTTATTAATGTAAAAATTAATAAAAGCGTTGTAAATTAAAATTGATTGAAACTTAAAAAATATTAAGGAACATTTTGATTTACATGTTTTTAAAGATAGCAATTTAACAGCAATTTGAAGCCGTTTGTATTACAAAAATATTATCGTTTGTGATTTAATATAACAAATTTTGTTTTTCATTTAAAATTGGTTTTGGGTTAAAGTTCAAGGAAAGATTCCAAATTCAGTGGATTTTCCCGTTGTCCGTTATTATGTTTTAATTTAAATTAAGGAAGATTTACAGGAGATCGTGTCCACAAAAATTGATCTAGTAATATTGATTTACTAGTGAAAACCATAAATAGTATAACTAGTTTCATTGTTTGATTTGTTTTCGCCAATATATCCAAAATTTTGGGATAATTTTGTCTGTAATTTCACAAGCAAGTAATTTAGAAAATCAGGTTTTGATGTCAATTTTCAGGAATAAAAATGAGAAATCTTCAGTACCTACGTCACATTAAAATTTATGTTACACGAGTTAGCCGGAGGTTAGTTAATTATTTTGTTAAAGAATGGTCAAGTTCACATAGAAAGTCAAAATTTTGATGGATTTCGCTAAAAACCTTCCACAAAATAGTACTCTATTTTTGGGTCATTCCTCATAGCTCGAGCTTCTATTAGCCACACAAGAAAGAGAGACCGCCATTTGAGGTTCAAGAATCTTTTGGGCGCCCGAAATTGACTACGTCTCAAAGACGCCCGCCTTTAAAGAGCTATTTAATTTCGCCCCTAGGAAAAAACACAAAATTCCGTCACGCAGACGTGCGAGTTTACAAGGTCCTTCCTACGCCAACAATTTGAAAATAATCGGACCAAAACTGTAGAAGAAACAAAAACTGTAAAATCACCATGTTTGTAATCTACGCTCGGGGATGGCGCTCAGATGTCGCCGACCCCAAATCATGTGGCCCCGTCCCTAAAGTTGTTAATTACGCGGCCCTCCTCGTCTTTCACAAATGATATTCTACGAGCCCGCATTTGCTGCTAGCATGCCAGCCAGTCAGTCGGCCAAAGGGAATATCCCAACATTTTTACAAATAAATTTGCAATAATGCGCTAAACAGTCGAAATGGAAACCCAGACCAAACCCGCCTGACAGGCCGAAGAATACCAAATGTGCTACTTAGCATCTCTGTGGTGTAGATAATTCATACACGTTACATTATCGTAAGTCATATCTTAGTTTACAGATATCGTGGCATCTTGCGAAAGTAGTAATTTCGATGTGTTCGAGAAAATATTCACTGTTACGCTAACAATTATAATTTTCTGCTTTGACCAATAAATTTAGGATATCGAAAGCGAGGTGGTGTTA